GATGTCTTTCCTTCCCTTACTACTCCTCTTTCCAATTCAGATCTCTCTGCTGATGATCTCCTTGCAAGCCACCATAATGGCTACTGTTCAGTATATACTTATTTAATCGTTTTTATACCTGGAGGGCCTTTCACCATACTTATTCAATCTGTGTGCTGGACAAATAATCTGAGAAGTTGGACTATATGACAAAGAATGAGGCATCAGGATTTGAGGAGGACTCATTAATAACATGTGACATGCAGATGATACACCTTTACTTGGCTGGAAACCAAGAGGACTTAAAATACTTAACTGAAGAAGATGAGAGATACTAGATACAGTCTACAGTATGGATAGTATCTCAATGAAAAGAAAAGAAAAATCCCCACAACTACACCAATAAATAGCATCATGATAAATGGAGAAAGATTTCATTTTACTTCGACCCACAATCAACATTCATGGAAGAAACAGTCAAGAAATCAAACGGTATATTGCATTAGGCAAATCTGTTGCAAATGACCTTTTTAAAGTGTTAAGAGTGAAGATGTCACTGAGAACTAAGGTAGGCCTGACCCAAACCATGGTATTTTCATAGTCTCACAAACATGTGAAAGCTGGACTATGAATAAGGAACCCAGAGAAGAATCAATGCAATTAAACTGCAGTGTTGACTTAGAATATTGAATATACCACAGCCAGCCAGAAGAATAAACAAATCTGTTTTGGAAGATGTATAGTAGGATTCCTCCTTGGAAGAGATGATGTTGAGACTTGGTCTCCCATATTTTGTAAGGATCAAGTCTCTGGAGAAGAGCATCACACTTGGTAACGTGGAGGTTTGGCAGCAGCAATGGATTCAAACATTACAATCGTGAGGATGACACAGTGTTTCAATCGGTTGAAAATAGGGTTGCTATGAGTCAGAACTGACTCAAGGGCACCTAATAACAACCACAGTCTGGAGGGTGAGGCATTCTCTCAATTGTATGTTTCTATCCCCACTCAATAGCTAGCACAGTTCTTTGTCTATCTCAAATATTTCATAAATGTGGAAATGATAAAGAACACAAAACTGGAAATCAGCTGTAACATTATTTAGGGTGGTGATGGAAGTCAGGAGTTGAAAGAGCATCCAAGATGCAGTAAGGAATCTATGTGGTAGGAGATTGGGTAAATTGAGAAGGAGAGAACTAGGAAGAAATAATTAGCCAGAGGGTTCACAGATGGAGGACGTAGCACAGGTTGGGGGGTTAAGCCTTGGGCAGTGTGATCATGAAGAAGTGCTTGGTCAGTTTGGTAGGGTCAGACAGCTTCTTCCCAAGTAGGCAGAAGTGAATCTTCGGAAAATTCCTGAATCTCTTCTTTCTGTCCCCATTCTTTGTAAACTTCAGTTGAGTCTGCATTCAAAAGACGTGTATAAACGCTACCCATTTCTTACAACTGCATCTCTCACCCTCGTCCAATCCACTGTCATCTCTTGTGTGGACAACTGCAAAAGCTTCCTGTTCAGTGGTTCTTCTCCTCTCCCACTTCCAATAATCTATTCTTCTCCAGCAACCAGAGCCATTCAAACTGTTTCTTGGCCTATAAAGACCTGCAGTATTCAACCTCTGATGACCTCTCAGATCACATTCCTCTTACTATGTCAAACAGATTAACAGGATTTTTATTCTCTGAGCTTGTTAAGGGGCTTTGGACTTGCTGATCCCTAAATCTGTAATGCTCTTCTTCCATAAATCTCCAGAACTCACTCCCTGCAAAGGGAATCAGTTCTCCCTGACCACCCCACCTAGGACAGAATCACCACCACCACCACCACCACCACCACACAATCCATTCCCTTAGCCCACTTATCTTTCTTCAGAACATGTGTCACATTATGCTATGTATTTGTTTTATTGTCTGTGTTTCCCAGTAGATTGTAAGCTCCACAAGAGCTGAGACTTTTTTTTTTTTTGGCACATAGTTGATGCTCAATAAATAAACAAATGACTTTAGCAGGCAGAGAGAAGTGAAAGATGCCAGAGTCAGGGTTTTCCTGGGGAGAAAGGTAATATTGAAGGCACAAAAAGAGATTTTTCAATGCAATAATTTGTATATGTGCTGAATATTTAATATAATTCAATTCAATGAAAATATAGTGCAGCTACTATATTCATGCATATCACAATGCCAAGAGCTGTTTGGGATAAATGATAATTAAAGCACAGACCTTGTTCTTAAGGAACTTAAAGTGTAACGGCTAGGGTGAGGACCAATAAGAATCTTTCGTTTTTTCACCTCCCACAGCATGCTCTTCATTGTGCTGCACACTGGGAGGTAGGTATTAATTTCTTTTTATTGGATAAGTGAATTACCAGTATATTCCTTCACTAAATCCTTGCACGGCCATACTGTCTAAATAGGGTGAAAAATATCTTACAAAGCCATAGTGTTAAATCCAAACCCTTCGATTGCATTTTGGATAGCTTCACTTGGAAGCTTTATGTGTCTCAACTCTTCCAAACTTATCCACTTAAATCCTGATCTCAGTTGTTGACACTGAAACTGGTTTCTCTGCCCAGTTCCTCACCTTCAGCCCTGCATTCCATGGAGACTACCTGTAGACATCAAGGAGACCTATCCACTCTTCCTCCTTCCTTTACTGTTTCTGGGGCCCTGGCCACCATCAGCTGTCCTCTAGATTTTCAACAGCCCCCTCCAGTTTCCTTTAGAACTTTCCTTCAATCCATCCTTACATCTAGGCCTGAGTGGTCTTCCTAAAATGCACATCTGCTAACCATACTCCTTTATTCAAAGCTTTCAAGGCTAGAATCCACACCCTTAATATGCAATATGAAGCTGTCCAAGTTGTAGCACCTGATTTCTTCTCTGGGCTCATTTCTTGCTACTTTTTTCTTACAATTTAGTTTTGGCCCATAAGAGATTTTTGGTCCTCCAACTGGGCTACCTGTTTTCTCCCCTCCTTGCCCTTTCAAGTTCTATTTCCATCTTCTTCAAATTCTAGCTAGCTTTCATTTCCACTGAGAAGCTTCCCTGACTGAACTTGACCTGAGTGAACTCTCTTTCACCCTTTTGTGTGATGCTGTGGAACTATGTGCTGGACTGCAAAGTCAATTTGAACTGCAAGGTCGGCTATTCAAGCTCACCATCTGCTCCTCGGAAATTCTATACTAGGTCGCTATGGGTTGGGACCGACTCGACGGCCTTAAACAACAACAACCCTGTATTACGGGAGTTATTGTTGTTTTTAAGTGCTGTCAAGTGGGTTCTGACTCATGACCATCCTTAAAGTGTTTCCAGGAGCAGCTGGTGGGCTTGAACCATTGTTGTTGTTGTTGTTACGTGCCGTGGAGTCGGTTCCGACTCATAGGGACCCTATACAGGGTTTCCTAGGCTGTGAATCTTTACGGGAGCAGAAAGCCTCATCTTTCTCCCGTGGAACAGCTGGTAGTTTCGAACTGCTGACCCTGAGGTTCACAGCCCGATTTGTAACCACTACACTACCATTAGAGCCCTCGAATATGCTTTCTCCACACTCTGTACTTTGCCTATTGTACCTGTATTCTTATTTGCCTCTCCATTAGATTTGTAAATCCATGAGAGTAAAATCGGAACGTTCTGTCTTGGTCCCTCTGTATCTCCAAGAACTGGCAGGGTGTCTACCCAACACATTGTTGTTACGTGCCCTTGAGTTGTTCTGACTCACAGCCACCCTCTGCACAACAGAATGAGACATTGGCAAGGCCTGCGCCATCCTCACAATCATTGGTACACTTGGGCCCATTGCTGCTGACACTGTGCCAGTTCATCTTGTTGGGGGGGGGGTCTTCCTTTTTGACACTGATCCTCCACTTTATCAAGCATGATATCCTTCTCCAGGGACTGGTCCCTCCTGATAATATGTCCCAGCACATAGTATGTTGGATAATATTGAATGAATTTAAATGCACTCTCTTGTATAGGAAGGAGCCCAGGTATCCTAGTGGGTTATGCATTGGGCTGCTAACCACAAAGTCAGCAGTTCAAAAAAAAGAAAGATGAGGCTTTCTGTTCTGGTAAAGATTTATATATAGGATCACTATCAGTCGGAACCAACTTAACTGCACACAGCAGTAACAACTTGTATAGGAAGGCGCTCTGGTGGTACATTGACTAAGTGTTTGGTTGCTAACTGAAAGGTCAGAGGTTCAAACTTAATAGCCCTTCAGAAGATGTGACAGGGAACAAAGCTGTGAAAGTCAGGTTCCTTAAAGATCACAGCATTGAAAACCCTATGGGGGAGTTCTACTTTATCCTATAGAGTTCTATGATTCCAAGTGGAGTCAATGGCAATAGGTCAGGTTGTATAGGAGGGGTTCTCATAAAATAATAATAGCTTACACTCACTGAGTGCTTACCTTGTGTCTGCCAGACACCATTCTGAATGCTTTACAAGTATGTCACAGACATCTCTCAGACCCTATTAAGTAGGGACGATTTCCCAATTAAACAGATGGAGAAATTGAGGGACTGAGAGGTTAAGTAATTCAACCAAGATCCACAGCTAGTAACTGGAAGAAAGGGGGCTAGAATTCAGGCTACTTCCAAACAGGTCATGCTCTCAACTCTATCCTAGAGTAAAGCGTAATTTGTTGTTCCACTGTCTAAATAGATTCGAGTCTCCCGCAAACGACTTTGTGTCGGATCCTGCGATAGGACGCGCTCCTGTGCTGCCCTCTTGAAGGTTGGGGCTTGAGGGTTTGGGGAAGGTCCCCAGGTCTATGGACCCCTGATCAACTTTCATGGTTGCCCAGCCCACTTGCCAGCTTCCCCCCAGTTCCACGGGTCCCCTTGTCACGAGCGGGTGTGGGCCCGACACGGGGAACGGCTGCTTGCCATGCCCCCTCCAGCCCACGGTCACCGAAGGCGGTGGGAAGGGGCGGGGCTGAGGGCGGGGCCGCTCGCTGTGACCACCGCCCTTGCCGGGCGCTCTTCTCGTCTGGGCTCAGCGGGCAGGGTTGGATCTGGAGGGGGCGGGGACTCGGGAGGGGCCGGAGCGCGGCTGCGGGTGCCTTTGCAGGAGCAGAGAGAGGAAGCGGCGCGTCCCTAGAGGCGTGCTCCCCGACCGACGGACGGACGCACGGACGAGCGGAGGGAGGGGGCCGGGGGCGAGGTCAGTGTCCGATGAGGACGCAGGCGGCGCTGAGCAGGGGGCGAGGGGATCCGGGATCCCGGTAAGGGAGGCAAAGGGGCGGCGGCGGGCCCGGCGCCGGCTACGCTCGGGGTCGGGCCGGAGACCCCTTCCCCGCTCGATCGTGAGCGCGGCGAACGAGCCTCGGCAGCCCAAAGCGGAGCCCCGACTCCCTTTTTCACCGGGTCTCCTTTATTTTTAGTCAGCGAAAAATAAACACCCGGGAAGGTAAAACAATAGCGGGGCCACCTGGGGCGCGGCGCGCGCAGAGTGCCCACGTTTAGGGCGGGGACCGGAGTGGAACCCGGGAGTCCGAGCCGCCACCTCGGAGCCCCTGCCGGTTCTGCCCCAGCGGAGGGTGGGGCTACCCGGGGCTCCGGGACTCGGCTAGAGGCAAGGGATTCCCTGGAGTGAAGCATTTGGTGAAAGTATTCCAGGAACAATCGGGCTTCCCACAGTTGTCCTGCTCGGGGAAGGGAAACCAGGCGCATGGAAACGTAACGACTTGCCCAAGGTCAGAAAGCGAAGGTTGACTACCCAGGTCCAGGTATGCGACCCAGGTGTCCGGACCAGCCTAGCACTCTGCCTCCCTTTTTTGGGGGGCGGGTGTATTTGCCTTTGATAAATATGTTTTTTGTTTTAGGAATCTGCTGGCATTGTGGGACCACTTAAAGGCTGCTGAGCGCCAACTTGCTTGGTGTGCCCTGGGCAGGTCTGGGACAGGTGGCAGCTCCGTGACCTACCACCATGGATGGAGACGGACTTCTCGGATGAAGAAATCCAAGCAGTGGATGCCAGCCAGGTTAATTTGGCTGTCAGAGGTTTTGACAAAACCTGCCCTGTACCCTTTGGGTAATCCCAGTGAGGAAGCTTACAAACACCTTCAGTGCAAAGCCAAGGACGTTTCTGTATAATTTGGGAATGAAAGGATTTTCTCAGACTCTTTCTTTCCCTTTTCCTTGAGGATTAATCCTCCACGAATCTACAATCCCAGTTGGAAACACAAGGCACACGATGTAGCAGAAGCCTAGAGCGCCTTCAGAATTGTGTGGACCCTCCATTTAGCACAGAGGAGTTAAACACATGCCATCCCCAATCCACTCCTGCTGCTCTCTTCTCTTTCTCATGCCCTCCTTTTTCTGAGTGAAATTCTATTTCCAAAACCTTTCTCTGAAGCTCTAAGTGGATTGCCAGAAATGAGAGATTAAGTGCTGGGAGAAGAGGAAGCGCCCTGTGTTGTGTCTCCTCCAGGCTGCTGACATGAAGTGCTTTTTCCCAGTGCTGAGCTGTCTGGCGGTGCTGGGTAAGTAGATCGGCTTATCAGTGCAATCGATGTGAAAGTTTAACCTGCTGTTAGTTCATGTAATTCCTTGTGGTTCTTTCCCATCAACACTCGATTTTGGGGGGACACCAGGAAGAAGCTGGTGTGGTTCACAGGTTGGAAGAGATTACCCAGAGGTCCATTTCTGATGCAGGAGGAAAGGTGCAATGTTACTGTTGTCTTTAAGAAGGAACAATTGCTGTTCTTAAAGTGTCCATCTGGTGTATTGGGCTGAGATCCCCATCTACAGGCCTGTGGTTTAGGGTACTCTGTAGGTTGTGAGCTAGTCTTACAATTTTACAAACATGTCGTATTACACATATTAGATCACTTCTATATTGGTCCACATTAATTCCTACTTATGCTGGGAAAGTTGGTTTGGTAATTACGATGATGGTTTTTTTAGATGGAAGTGGGAGTAGATGGGGTAGAGGGTTGAAGGAATGCTTTGCTCTGCCTCATTGGCCTGTAGACTAAAAATGTTTACAGCACTAGTCATAGGCTGTGACACACACAAATACAACTGAGACCATATTCTGTAGAGAAAGAGATACTGCCTGCAAGGAGGTTTGTTAAGATTGGGCTTTGTGCCCCAATAGAAGGTCAGAATGCTTAAAGCGGGAAGAAAAAATTGTGGCCCCCCGAGAGGTGAATCCTTGTTACTTTTCTTGAGGACTTCCTTCCTGTCTCAAAGAGGTCCCCCTCTGCCCAACACTCATCCATTCTCAAATTCCGAAATGTATTTTGTATCATTTGAGTGCCATCTTAAGTGTGGTGTCTTAAAACACATTTCAGGTCTAAATAAACTCCCTAGTTAGGAAGAAATGAATGTATTCCCCTATTTCCCTGTGGAGTCCTGGTGTGGCACTGTGGGTTAATGCGCCAGCCTGTGAAGCTGTTTGAACTGCAAGGTCTGTGGTTCAAGCTCACCAGCTGCTTCTCAGAAACCCTATACAGGGTCGCTATGGGTCGGAACCAACTCGATGTCACTTAATAACAACAACAACAACATTTTCCCTTGGACTCCTGGAGTAGCTCTGTAGGATCAGCACTGTTCTGCAGATCAAAATGTCGGCAGTTCACACCCACCAGCTGCTCCTTGGAAACCCTATACAGGGTCACTATGAGTCAGAACCAACTGGAAGGCACTTAACAACAACAATAACATTTCCCCTTAACCTTATACACAAGCATACCCAGTATGACCCAGTTGTTTGAATTCAGAAGGTGTCTTCACAGTTGCCAGTGGTTTTTGTATCTCCAGATCTAAGTGTCTTGTGCTTATTGGTAACCCACTGGCAGTGGAGGTTGCTTTCATGCACTGCCTGTACCCTTGCAAAAGTTAACAAGAGTATGGAAAGAGAATGGACTTTGGATTGAAAGGACCTGGTTTCAAATCTCAACCTCACCATATTGACATCCGAGTGTCAGTGAAATGGGATAATACCTCCCTAGGGTGCACATTGGAATCACTGGGCTAGCTTTAATAATTCTGGTTTCTGAGCAACAACCTCAGGCCAATTAAATCATATTCTCTGAGAGTGAAAACGGGGGAGAACCCAAGGATCAGTCTTTTGGGTCTCCCTGCTCATTCATTCCAGTGTGTCGGTGAGTTTGAGAGTCAGTGTGTGAATAAGTATGTTCCATTTTCTGCCCAGGTGTAGGTGAGGTATAAACCCTTGTTTCCATGTCTCCTGTATGCTCGGACAGAATCAAGAAGGCAGGTAGCCCCCTGTCCCCCAGTCCCTAAGTACTGTTATCCTGTGTTTGTCAGCTCACATAGAGTCTGTGTTGAAATCAGTCATTAGTGATTCTTACTGGAGCAAAAAGACACAAACCAGAGAAGCCCTTGGGAGTTTTGGATTTTGATGGGGTGTATGGCGAAGGCGGGAAAGAAGGTTGAGTGGAAGGGTGGGACTGAGGACTGGAAAAGGAACCACCAATAGGAAAGCAAAGAAATGTGACATTTGTGCCTTTTGTTTCTTCTGGTTGCTCAAGAAATGGAAAGCTGGTTGGTTTTCTTTCTGTTGTTCGTCGTCTGGGCTACTCTAGGGAGAAGAACTCTGGTCCTGGCACGGGGTGCTGTCCCCTTCTCCAAGCCCCTCATGTGTAAACGGGCTATGGAGGAAAATGAGTGCCACTGTGGCCTTAAAGGGAAACAGTGGCGGAAGTCCAGACAGGGTGAAAGGGGAAAGCTTTAGGATTATGGATGTGCTTATTAATCTCCAACCTGATTTGTGCACTCAGTTGTGGAACCTCATTTTTTTCTTAACACTTGATGGTTTCTCAAGACAAAAGTGGGGCAAGGAGGGCTTACTACTCCTTTCTTAACCTTGGAGAAGCGGATGGTGTTTGGGGAAGGCACAACACCCTTGTTGGGGGTCTTATTTCTTGCTTGCAGTCTGGTGTGATCTGTGTAATGTGAATTGATGTGTGGTGTGAATTTACAATAGCAAACAATCCCAAGGTGATACTAACTGCACATCTGAAATAAATTTTATTTTTTTGTAAAAAGTTTGTTATTGTGCCGCCCAGTCAATTGTGACTCATAGCGACTGTGTAGGGTTTCCGAGGAGGAGCTGGTGGGTTTGAACTGCTGACTTTGTGGTTCTCAGTCCAGTGCTGATCCTACAGTGTCACACTGGGAGTCCTTATAAAAAGTAGGAGAAAGCTAAGTGTGCTGCAAAGTGCGAGAGATACAGGGGCCCGCCTCTACTACTGACTGACTGAATTAGAAAGCCCTGAGACAATATGTGAGGGGTATGCTAGATAAATCTCTGAAATGTTTGCAATGCTCTTGACATCATTAAAGATGCACTTTTCTGCTCTCTTTTGCCAGTGTCTAGGATTTGGATCAGGTTTCTTTTTCTTCCTGTCTGTGTATACAGATCCTCCTACACGTCTCTGTCCTATTGAAACTACATGGCTTTGTACCTTTCCTCTTGACCATCGGGTCTGATTTCTTTGTGATGCAGCCCTGGGTACTGCACCCAATCCAGGAACCATTGGCTATGACAGCAATCGTGGTTCAAGTTAAAGCCATTCCACCCTGGGCTTGGTTGAGCCATAAAGATAGCAGAGTACCCATTATGAGAATGTGGTGAAGCCAGAGATGGGAGAGAATGAAGGGGCTGCGTATGTGAATGTGGAATGTGTAAAAAGAGGGGATGGGGTAAAAGGGAGAGAGTATCTGTGGCGGTTTCTAGGAGAAGCCTGCGTGAGTGACAGTGACATGGAAAAATTACAGCAATCTGGGAGAAACAGAATAGATTTGTGTCTTCGAGGACAGGAAGGGAAAAAAATCAGGAAAGATGAATGTAAGCTTTAGACACATAAAGCAAGTTTCGATTTTGCGTTGTCCGTGAAGAGTTATGCCTCCCAGATCAGTGCTGATGTTGCAAACAAGATGAAAGAGCTTTAAAAGTGTTAGCCGTGAAAGATGGAGGGGATTGGGACATCTCTGGATCAACACAAGAGAAATCTGTAGGTGGCTAAAGATCATTTGCAATCTCCTCCATATGGAGGGAAGTCCATTTGTGGAGTTCAGGAAGCCTCTTGTTTGATAAGAAGTGATCACTTACTTCCCAGTTAGTTAGGGAAAGCTTCTGACTGGGAGGTAGGGCTTCCAAAAGAGGTTGAAAGAAACTTTGATGTACTGATGGGCCAGAGCTCAGAGGCAAGACTAGGGTAAGATCAAAGGCAGAGAGGGAAAGGCAGAGGAGAGAAGTGAAGTGGTTTGGGGCAGTCATGACCAAGGTTCTGGAGGAAGAGGATGAGGATTGTGACTCATAGATGCACAAACATCACTATCACAACAGCTGATCCAGATATAGTGAACTTCCCTTTCTTGAACAGAAGGAGATTCTTGCCTAGGATGCCTTTCAATTCAAATCATTGAGCCACCTCTGTGCACCCGGAGCTATCTTAAGATGTATCAGTCTCCTACATTTTTTATTGCAGTGAGAAGAGTAACAGTGTTAATTCCAGTTCTCCTAGCTCTGACCCTTACCATGAACCAAGTCCTATGTTGTTCAGTCCTTAAACAACAACAAACAAACAAACCCACTGCTGGTGAGTTGATTCCAACTCATTGGGTTCAAACCACTGACTTTTGGGTGAGGGGAGCAGCCAAGTACTTAACTAGTGCTGTTTCAGACCTCAAAACAACTCTACAAAGCAGATATCTCATATTGTCAATTTTTCTATAGCTAGGGAAATTGAGGTCAAGGGAGGTTAAAGTAGTTGACTATACCAGCTTGGTATGGTGTTCTGCAGTATCAGGGACCTAGATGCCTCCTGTTTGTTTTTCCATATGAATGTCCTCCAGTCCCAGGGTCACCTCACTGTTCAAGATTGCTGGCGGTTCTAGATCAGGAAGTGGGAAAAGGGCAGCCCTTCATAATTTAAGGTTATTTTCTGTACGTTGTGGAGTCCTGGTTTGGTGCTGTAGCATGAGCACTGAACGATTAACCACAACAACAACAACAACAACCACACCTCGGAAATCCTATACAGCAGGGGTAAGATGTTGTTGTTAAGTGCCATCAAGTCAATTCCTACTCATAGTGGCCCTGTATAGGGTGTCCAAGGAGACACTGGTGAGTTTGAAACTGCTGACCTTGAGGTTCTAGCTGACCTTGTGGTCCAGGGCTTTATCCCACAGCACTATATCAGGACTCCATGGGCCATAGAAGGCCCACAAAATCATCTGATCTGGCAATGCCAAGACAACCACAGTTCCAGCCATTACATTGTTGTCGTTGTTGTTAAGTGCCGTCGAGTTGGTTCTGACCCATAGCAACCCTGTATAGGGTTTCTGAGGAGTGGCTGGTGTGGTTTAATCTCTGACCTTGGGGTTCAAACCAACTTTGCAGTCTAGCACATTAACCCACAAGAGCCTTGTTGTTGTGTGCCATCGAGTCGGTTCTGGCCCATAGCAATGCTGTATAGGGTTTCTGAGGAGTGGTTGATGAGCTTGAACC